CTTCCTTCTTTTCCTTCTTTCCTTCTCTCTTTTCTCTACTCTTTCTTTTTTCCTTCCCTACTTCCTTCTTTTCCTTCTTTCCTTCTCTCTTTTCTCTTCCCTTTCTTTCTTCCTTCTAATGCTGTGCGAGTAGATACGCTGAGGGAATACCTCTGAACCCTCGCAACGAGAGCAAGTCTGGTTGACAGAAGCTCTGTAACCCTAACGTTTGAGCATGTGGAGGACTTCTTCCTTCTCATCTCCAAGTTTCGGCGCGCACACTCCTAAGGCTTCCTAAAATGAGGAAAGAGTTGAATGTGCTGGAATGCACATTCCTCGAACAAATCCACGAAGAAAGAAACCTCCTCTGTTTTCAACATCAGCACTATCGGAGGGATAGCGTTCTGCAACACCAAATTCTTCCCAGACATTTACAAAACACCGTTCCTCCATACCGCTCAAGGTAACTTAGATTTCTTCACAATTTGAGATCATTCGCTGATAGGAGTTCCACATACCTGGCTATTTGTGAATTTGATAGGACGTGGTAGTTCGAATTGTCTACAGAATTCCTCTGGCGACACCTCCCATCGCTGCTCTACTTCCTCGCGTTCCACCTTTGTCGCTATGATGACACATGGTGTTCTCGTGCTGAACACACTGAGATGATTCATTGAAGCACAGATAGAAGCAGAAGTTCACTGACCGATAGAAATACTTCTGATAAATTGTCGCACAAAACGAAGAAAGATTCAGGATTACTGATGTCATAGAGGAATGCTACCACATCGGCAGTCGTCTCTGCGCCACTTAGCACATCTTGTGGAGAGAGCACATCGACCTGCAATCTCATGATTACCCAAGAATTGTAGGAAATTCGCAACGGCAAGGTAAAAGAACCACCTCTCGTAGCAGCAAATACTTGCTCTCCTCTTTTACCTTAACTCGATTGATTACATACGGATAATGCCTTCGACCTGTGTGCATTGCATCCAGCAATCCGCGACCAACTAATGACTGCATGAAGACACTCTGAACCCATTCAACATCAGTGGTGTCTCCCTAACCCTTCCTCCGGATGATCGTTACCTTTCCAGTATCCTTTGCCCCAACAACTAGACATTGAAACACCCGTCGCGTCGTACCACGCTCAGTGAGGTCAATCTTGCGCTCACGTGTGATCTTGATAGCATCCAAGGAAGATCCAGCACGAGCTAAAACATTCAAAGTAGTAGGGTTCTGCATACTGCATGCTGAAATGGGGTACGACACGTTTTGTGTTGTGGTAAATGCTTCTGCGCACCAGTTTGTCACAAAGTTATTACGGGGGTGCTGATTTTTAAGGAAAAGCTTGACCGCAAGCCGAATTTGAAATGTTTGGGAGTTGAGGCGACGAACCATTTCTATTCTTAATACCTACTAACTTTCAACTATTCTTTTTCTTATAATTTAGCTGAATGAAGTCGTCTGCTATATCTTAGCATTCTTACAATAGATACCTTCCGTTCTTCAAATACAATCAACTATTTAACCATTTGATTAGTTGACACCGATATCCCACATTGTATTAATCCCTTTACTTGAGGTAACATTGACCAACAATTCCATGATGGTGCGTAGTGAAAGCAAAAAGAGCACAAGATGGAGCGATCCAACGAACATGACCACCGTTACTTCTTGGAACGATAAGATTACCTACTCTGAGTGCTACGACCAACAGCAAATCCCAAGTACGCCAACTGCTCCATCGTTTGCGAAACATTAATCAACGTGGTCATGCTGAAAGTCTATACGTAACACGGAATTTTTCAACAAAACGGTTGCCTGCTTACTTCCAATACGCCATATACCCAGCATAAGTGATCCACCCGCGAGGATTAGTCTCAACAGCCGACAGTATCTGTAACTTATCTGGCATGTTATAAAGACCTACATACAGATCGTTTGCAGTTAGCCTTTTTCACAAACATACACCACTCTATGCGATTCAAACAGGATTAACTGACCTCTCTGCTGAGGGCTGCAGTTGGACAGACACTGAAGAGATTAGCAAGTTCGCAAGGTGACAAACACTGATCTTTGTCCTCGTCATGCTTTTCGAACAAAGCAGAGAGAAACTGAATCCCCTCAGGTGACAGTTCGGTGGAGCAGCCAACTGGGACCTGAAAGTTGAAGATCCGTCAAAAGCAAACATAAAAAAGTAAAGAAGTTGTAAAAAAGCCGTTCATGAAGGACCTCGCCAGATAAAGTAGGTTGGAAAGCAGCGAGAGAAAAACCAGGAGCGCTAGGCCCAGTTAGTGACACTGCCTTCACATTTTCCTCTGAGCTTCATTTTTCTTCGAATTTGGGGAATTCAAAGACATGGCTCACCACCGTTCGGGACTGTCAAGTACGATTATCCGCTTGCTGAGCTCCCACCGGATGTTCTTTCGCAGCGAAGGCCCTGGGTTATGTTCTCATCATATACCATCAAAGGAGACAAAAATGAGGAAGATAGAAGGCAGGAGAAAGGAAGGAAGGAAGGTAGAAATGAGGAAGAAAAGAAGAAGAAAAAGGAAGGTTCCGTGGCCGACAGATATTCTGACATGGGTGGAACCAGGAGCCAGCGTCTTTGGCGCGCTCTTCCTCATCGTGACTTCTACTCTGCCACAACCATTTTTCTGATAGTTTCGAAACGAACTTATCCACGTGAGAGAACTTAAGGCGTGTTTGACTTAAGAGGATGAATACCTGGATTCTTGGATAAAGATAGTCCTCTCCAAGTTTCAAATTAGATTCATATCCAAATTTCCGTAACACTGTCCACGTTGTCTCGTGTCGTCCTCGCTCAATGAAAAGCAGGTTGAGGTAGAGAAAACCTAAAGCACAACCTTTATGTAACTGGGTCTACTGTGCAATGAGTTCAAGAACGCCAGATGCTAGTCCAATGAAGGTACGTCGTTTATCAGGTTACCTCTTAGGACGTACCATGATGCTGACGTCGTGGCATATCCCCAACACGTACAGTCTAGCTCGCTGTACGCGGTGCCAATCCGTTCTCCATCAGCTGTTGAAGCGAGCAGCTAAGGGACTCTATCTTATCGTTCGTATCACTCATTTTCTACAAACCGCTGACGCATACCCACTTCAAGAAACCGACAGAGAACGGGACTGGTACCGTGGCACACTGATACTGCCTGATAAGCCTCTTCCCCCAGAGCGAGATAGAGTAACTCGGAATAAGTGCAGGTTTAGTGTAGTCTCGTAAAATGCGCATTAATGAATCAACGTTAACGTGGACAACTTCTTCGTTGCTTCGATCACATTCCATATCCGGAGACGGTAAAGCGTGGCTGCTTACCAGGGAAGATCAACAGGTCGCCATGGCCATTCAAGATGAGATGCATATCGACGTGTACGTCTCGGGACGCTGAACTCAAATCTGCTTCCAAAATTTGCCGAACGATTCTCTATGAGGAGTTAGGGGAGGGGTCGTTCTAGCACTCTTCGATCCTTCTTCGCGTTGCTCAAGTTGAGTTCGAGAACCGACAGGTCATGGGTTCAATTCCTTGATGGGTCCGCATTTTTGCATTTTTTCGGAACATCTTCTGCGAGTTCAGAAAATACTTTTATCCGTTATTTTGTCAAGCTTGCTCTTACTTGCAGCAGGAAAAGACTTAAGTGCCGGCAATTGTGCTTCGCTTTCAAGACTTTTAGGCAGTGTTTACCCTTTACTGCCCAAATCACCCGAAATCAGGCCAGTTTTGACCGACTTTTTTCTTCGTAAGCAGAATTGGCTGAAAAGTTGCCTACTAGGGTAGTCTGCCCTTCTGAACATGATTATCACATCCGCTCGGCACGAAACCTCCTAGCACCCGTGCCACAGGCGCCAGCGCCAAAATACCCTAAATCACCAAGTTCGCTGAAAACTTGTCAACTGGGGTAGTTTGACCTCCTGGACACAAATATCCCATTAGCTGAGTCTAATGCTTGGCGCCGGAGCCAAAATAGTAGAAATCACAAGCTCTCATATGGAGCAGTTTGACCTCCTAAACACGACATCACATCTGTGTGGGGCGTTGAGAATGTTTGGGATAGAGAAAAAGGGTAATGTGATTGCGCAACCTGCGTCTGCACCCCTCCCCTGAGATGAGGCCCTTTCTCTGCTAAGGCTGAGCCTTAGCAAAGGGAAGAATTTCTATGACAGGCAACCCCACTTCTGCCAGTTTGCCCAACTGCCCTAGCACAGAGCCCTGCACGAAAGCGACTGGAGTCTGTGCTACACGGGTCGGAACAAGCATGCGATGGGTTGCTTGTGGAGACGGTTTCAGGCTGTACGGACGTGATATTCCGTGTTTAGGGGTCAAACTACCCCAGTTGACAAGTTTTCAGCGAACTTGGTGATTAGGGTATTTTGGCGCTGGCGCCTGTGGCACGGGTGCTAGGAGGTTTCGTGCCGAGCGGATGTGATAATCATGTTCAGAAGGGCAGACTACCCTAGTAGGCAACTTTTCAGCCAATTCTGCTTACGAAGAAAAAAGTCGGTCAAAAACTGGCCTGATTTCGGGTGATTTGGGCAGTAAAGGGTAAACACTGCCTAAAAGTCTTGAAAGCGAAGCACAATAGCCGGCACTTAAGTCTTTTCCTGCTGCAAGTAAGAGCAAGCTTGACAAAATAACGGATGAAAGTATTTTCTGAACTCGCAGAAGATGTTCCGAAAAAATGCAAAAATGCGAACCTGTCAAGGAATCGAACCCATGACCTCCCATCTATGAAGCAACTTACCTATCCACTACACCATCGACCACTTGAGACTGTCTGTACTCGAACTTAACTTGAGCTACGCAAAGGAGGATCGGCGAGTGCTATGCTAGAACGACCCCCCTAACTCCTCATAGAGAATCGTTCGGCAAATTTTGGAAGCAGATTTGAGTTCAGCGTCCCGAGACGTACACGTCGATATGCATCTCATCTTGAATGGCCATGGCGACCTGTTGACCTTCCCTGGTTATTTCACTCAAACATGGCGTAGAACGCTTTCCTCCTGGGATTTTCTTCTTCAAACCAAGTTTCATCTTGTCTTGTTCCAGGCAATGACATTAGTAAAGTTGTCCCAAAGCAACAACATCCCACCTAGAAGCGCAGTCGCCATCACATTCAAATGAAACACACAGCCATCTGCCCAGTCAGCGGGATTATGAAGTGCACGTGAAAGAAAGAGATCAAAAAAAGTCTCGAAATTAACGACTAACCTGGCAGAGAAAGAGCTCCATCGACAATTCCATCACTACAGCCATCTGCAACCGCTCTTTTCACATCTTCTATTGCAGCAGGTGTTAATGGTATTCCAAAGCAGAGTTTTTGAAACTCGTTTAGCTCAGTGTCATTCAAGTAGCCGTCGTTATCTCTATCACAGATCTGCAAGGTCCTACTTTATTGGGTGTTTACAGATGTACAGGGCGTAACAAAAGTATGTGGACACCACAAAATTTTGTCCTGCAAAATTGCCTTGGATTTTGCGATAGATCTCTATTGGAATTAACAAAGGGATACATTACTTCTGACCACTTTGTGAACTACTGTACAATTATTTATTGTTTTGAAAAAGTTTCTTAATAACAAAAGTATGTGGACACTTAACAAAAAACAAATGTATCGTTAAAGTTGGTTTTTCCTCCAGCGTTCACTATTACTTCGAACATTCTGTCTGGCATGCTGTGGACAAGATTTGTCATGGTGTCTTCGTCGATTTCCTCCCATGCAGCAACTGCCGCCTCCTTCAAGTCTCGCACGCTGTTATACTGCCGACTATTCGGTTGGGTTGCGTACTTTGATACCATTGCGTTGTAGCCATTTTCTAGTAGAATTTGAAACATGCACGGCGGCGTTGTCCTGCTGCATCACATGTGTCCTGCGTCGTGGCCCGCTCAGAAAAGGCAAGAGGTTAGACTCAAGCACTCCTTGGTATTCCTGACTGTTCATACAGCACGATGGGAAGGCAAGCTCCAACTTTCCTCTGCTTCCAAAACCACCCCGTACCATCAAAGAGGCGCCTCCGAAATTTCGTCTCGAGAACACCAACGGATCGCTACAAAGGTCTTTCCAGTAATGCTGATATCCATCTGGACCGTCGAGATTGACTTTTTCTTATCAGTGAAGATAACCTAAGAAAGAAATGCGCATAAGATGTTGCCTTTCTGATTTTACAAATATCTCAAGAAACTGCACCTTGTCCCACGACGTCGCCATGTTTGCACGCGCAAAGTTCAGTCTTGCCAGCTGGTGCTTGGCAGTCAGACAGGGAGCTTTCTTCATGGTCTCTCGAGTGATGTGCTCACTTGATCGAATAGAGCGCCATATTGTCATTTTTGAGACCGGTAGATTCATCGCGGCATGGATCTGTGCCACAGAAAGCGGGGAGTTTGAGGCCATTCTTCTGATGTCTTTTGCGGACAAAGATCGTGGGTGCCTCGAAACAGGTACTGAGTGGTAGCCATCAGGATTCTGGAGGTATATACCAACGCACGTCGCCGAAAGTCCAAGCTATCTTGCAATTTCTCTATTCGAGTGTCCTGCAGCGCGAAAGAACTTTTGTGAGATCTTGTGGTTGGTAGCGAGTGTTGGAGTCCTTGCGTACATCATGCACATGTCCCTCGCAGGTA